GTTTGATTAGAGCCTTCGAGCATCGCGAGTGGCCTCATGTCTTTACAAAAGTTGACATCATGCCACCTAGTGATATATTTAACAAAAATGTTGCTAACAGCCTGCCAATAAGGGAATTAAGTTAACTTGAGAATATAGTAGGGGGGGAAATACTCGGAAGTTTTTTTTGCTGTAATAATTATGTATACCTAAGTCCTTTGCCTGGGGGAACATAATTGACACAGCACGCCAGTCTTACTTTCAGATTAAGACTACTGATATGGAGAACGAGAAGGTCGCTACGCCTCAAATAGTAAATACCTGAGAGCAGTAATCATACATTTCCTCTTCTTTTTTCTGACGCATTGTAGAGTACAGGTACAATAAGATGGTGAAAGGCAATTATTCTCATTTCAGATTGATATACTTACAGGCCCTGATATGATCCAAGTTGAGAAACCAAAAATAGGAGTGCATTTCAAAATTTGAGGCAGAAACTAAAACTTGGATTTTCTGATAAGCGACAAGAATACAAGATATAATGGTCAATGCGAGGTTATGCTTCCTAAATCATTTTTCAGCTTAAAGCATTCAACTAATATGTCAAAGAAATTAGAACGCTTTGTTTTTGTTAGTGTCATAGTAATCAGTAGTTATCTGCCATCAATTTTAGTACAGAATCACCATCCAATATGTCAACATATATATTTAAGATCATCTTTCCAATTGCCTCACCACCTCACATAACACAAAAAGGGGAATGTATTACTATCATATTACGCTTATTCTATTTTCAAACATTTGTTTCTGCAAGTAATAAAAAAAATTCTTGTAACAAAAAGGCGCAATAGGCCTTTGAAGAGGTATCTGACTCCGTAGTTTCTAAAACTTGGATGATGAAGACTAAAGGATCTGTCCCCAAATAATTTTTTAGTAAGGAACATAAGGGAAGAGGGTGAGATCATCACGTTAGATGTAGTGCCACATCAATAATGGTTTGCAATAATAGATCACGGCAAGTAACGATAAAAAAATTCCTCGTAACCAAAAGGCACAAGAGGCCTATGAACAAGTGTCTGAATACGCAGGGCATTGTTACCTAAAGCCATAAATAAAGAACGCACATAAGTTTTAAAAAATTTTAAATTTTTTTTGCCGAGTGTCCAAGGCTTACACTCGGCAAAATATGTTTTTAAAAAATAAAAAAAAATTGCCGAGTGCCTTGGTCTGGCTCTCGGCAAAATAAGTTTTAAAAAATAAAAAAAATTTGCCGAGTGCCGTGGGCTGGCACTCGACAAAATATGTTTTTAAAAAATAAAAAAAATTACCAAGTGCCTGGGGCTGGCACTCGGGAAAATAAGTTTTTAAAAATAAAAAAAATTGTCGAGTACCATCCGTTAAGCACTCGGCAAAATCTGACGGTAGGTGGCCGCCGTCACGGGCCGGCCACCTTTTGCCGAGTGGGACTTTTGCCGAGTGCCGCGGCACTCGGCAAAGCCCAGCTTTGCCGAGAGCCAGGCTTTGCCGAGTGTCTGGCACTCGGCAAAACCACCTTTGTCGAGTGCTTTATTTTGTTGAGTGTGGCACTCGGCGAAATATTGCTTTGCCAAATACCCCGATAAAAAGCACTCGACAAAGTCTGAGGCACTTTGACCTTCCATTGTTATTCGGTGGAGGAGGACAGTGACGTGCACGGAGGCGGAGAACGGAGATGGAGCTAGCGAGGCCACAGAGTCTGTAGGCGGAGGAGATCATATCCCATCCACATCGAGATCCGGCGGGGAGGGAGGTGGCGCGCGCATTGGACGGGGTGCATGCCATGCATCATGCATGAGAGGCGTACCGTACGTGAGCACACGTAACCGCGGCCCTGCCCACGAGCCACCAGCCGCCAGCCACCAGCCACCCCCTCGATCTTTGGTCGATCTGTCTCTGATGATGATACGATGATTCAACAGTTTCATCCATCTATCTATATACGAGTATATTCATTTCATTTTTAGTCTTATCAGAATATTAATCTTGCTCTCGACCCTCTGATACATGCATACATACTAGTACAATACAATCAGCTCCCATCTCTCTCCGATACTAGGAGTATTACCTGTCTCTATTAATCAGTCTATCATTACATTATTAATAACACAGTCCATGCAATGCAATAATCCCTTCGATCTCATCATCATCAAATCTTAATTTCACAGCTTTTCTCTCCTTCAAGATAACTAGTACTCCTGTTGCCTGTACGTGTGTGGGCCACGGTACTATATATGGGCCCACTTCTCTCTTCGATCACATCTCCTCGATCTTATCCACTTCGTCAGTTAATTTCAGGCGGCTTACGTGTGCGAGATGGAGAAATAACTATTGGATATATATACTCTATATGCATCAATGCATGTGGTACATCTCTCAACTCTCCAATGGGAACTTACAATTTTGGGTACGGTCTCGAATTGATTGTTATTAGCGAGCACAATTGAATAAAAAAATTTATTGACGATCCCTCTGATGGAGCCTACACGTACGTGAGGGAGATTGCTTAAGTGTAACTGAATTGTGTCTAGCTTCCCCCATCTAGATCATCTTATTTATCATGAGCTAGAAACACACAGGCCCATATCTAAGAATCATCATCAATGCCTTAATTAATATTTTCCCATACTAAATTGTAGTTCAATTGACACAGGTCGTCCTCCACCAACTCAAGGAGTTGTTTGAAGCTATTTGGTGCTAATTAAACAAGGTAAAATGAAACAACTCCGCTTGAGGAACTCTTTAAAACATGCTCTCTCACGAGTAGTGGGTGGGCGATGAAGCTAAAAATAATAGCTTCTCCTAGCTCCCACTTGCTCTTGGGGGAGATGTTTTGCCAAACGGTCCGTCAAAACAACTTCAGCTCTATCAGTAGATCTATTCGTGGAGCTGAAGGAAAAAAAAACAGCTTCACTAGTGAACTAGAGTTGTGCCAAGCGAGATCTTAGCTTTAGACTAGGTTTATAGAGAATGCATCAGCATCTATAAGTATCAAATTAGTTTCATTATTAACTATGTCTTGATACTAGTTTATTTATTTTCAAATATAGATGTTTAATACACTTTTCTAGAAACTTGGTCAAATTTAGAGAAGTTTGACTTAGAACAAAAGGCTAAAGTGAACTATAATTTGGAAAGAAAGAGTAAGCCTTCTAGCTTACTACTCATGCTGGATATAGATAACAAATTCAGGAACAATCCCTAAACTTGTATAATGATATTATCTGGACCCCAAGTCTCAATTTTGATATTTGAGACCCCGAGTTATAATGATTCTCCTATTTCTCTTATCAAACAATTTATCTGTTGGGTAGGAATTCTCCTGTCTCTGGAGAAAAACAGTTTGGAAGAAAAAGAACCTATCAAATGAGACCTAGGTGGTGTTTAAATCTAGGGAGTAAAGTTTAGGGATGTCACATCGGGGTGTCACGTGGGAGTGTTCGGATAGTAATAATAAAATAAATTACTGAAGTTCTCAGTAATCCGCGAGATGAATTTATTAAGCCTAATTAATCCATCATTAGCATATGCTTACTGTAGCACCGCATTGTCAAATCATGGACTAATTAGGCTTAAAAGATTCATCTCGCAAATTAGTCGTAATCTGTGCAATTAGTTATTTTTTAGTCTATATTTAATACTTCACCCATATGTCAAACATCCAATTTGATAGGGAGTAAACTTTAGAGGAATGATTTAAACAAGGCCCTAATATTCATTAAATAGTTTATTAAGCATGCGCATCAAATAAAGTCCTCGATCGGTCAGCTCTCCTCTCTAGGGGCTCCTCTCCAAATTCTTAAAGTGACTGCTGTCGCTCACAAAGCCAAAAGGAGGGGGTACGTATGTACTACGTAGCTAGCAAGCTGAAAGTAAAGGTTGGTACGAATCGGAAAAGGATTAGTCGTCCATACGTCCACTTGGCCGTACGTACCTGTCAATAGTGTGTGTGTGTGTCACCGCCAAAACACTTGGACGGATTCGGATCTCATATCTAAAAAGTAATCTAACCATATATATATAAATGCCCTACGTGTGGATATCTTGAACACAGAAATAAATACTATTAGTTTACTCGAGATTTGTAATCAATAAGCTAGAATTTGAGCTATACAAAAAAGCTGCTGCTCAGCTCCCTACATACTTTATTGTTCCCCTTCATCTTCATGCACATTATATTGAAGAAAGAGAGGTTCAATATTTAATAATAGTCTCTCCAAAAAAAATGTCCATGATATATATAGTTGCCAATTATTTTTTTAAGCAAAAAAGCTGCAAATTTATAGTTGTCAATTATAGCATCTCTTCTTTTCTGGCTAGAAGTTACACGCACACGCACATGCAAGAATTAGATCATGAGGTTTTGAGACCAGACAAATTAATAAATTGAATGAAACAATGTACAACCGGCTTAAAAAACACTGCACAACAGCATGTTTCTTTTATTTTGAAAAGTTTGCTTCCTCCTTTTTCATATTAAATAAAAACCATATACATAGCCAACGATAGATAGATCTTTTGAATTGAAGACCACTCCAGTGTCATGAAATAAAAAATAAAGAGGCATATGCATCGTAGGCCCTTGAACTTGTCTTGTGGTGCCACTTAGGTCCACAAACTCTCTAATCGTACTTCTGACACCCTAATGTTGTTTAAGTATGTCACTTAGGTCCATAACTCATCAGATCAAAGTTTTTGCCGACGTGGCGGGGTCAGAGCACACGTGAGCCGCGCGTGAGCCTGATTTGGAGCGTCCAAATTAGTAGAGAGGCCCCCCAGTTCCTTTCATATCCTCCATTTCCCCTTCCTTCACCTCTTCCCTTCTCTGTCTGTCCCTCTGCCCGAACTCAAGACGCCGTCGCTGCCGCCGCCGCCTCAAGGACGAGCTGGCCCGCGTCTGCGCCCGAGATAGCATTTCGGCGCACGTACGGTAGCGGAAGCATCCAAATGTTTCAAAACTGGTCATGTGATGCCCTAGGCTAGTGCTACAGGTCAAGCTCGCTGCAGGTCAGACGGCGGCCACCGCGTCTGAGCCTCCGCACTCCGCAGACGGCACGGAGACCAAACTGCCTCGCACACGTCTGGAGAGCATTGACCTGCCTCTCCTAGGAGCATCGATTGGTGCGTGCGCAGGACGCAGCAGTGGCGCCGCGCGGACTCGCTCGCCCACGTACTACGCGCACGCGTCGGGGCAGCATAAAATACTGGGCCGCGGCCGCTCTAAATGCTGGCGTAACTCGCGCACTGTAGATGCCACATGGTAACGGCCGGGCCGGGGTGGAGTACGTACCTTGGAGTAGCCGTTGTTCATGTCCTGCACGATGCAGCCGGTGGGGAGCAGGCGGCAGCCCATGTACCCGGCGGCGCCGCCGCCGTTCTGCGCGTGGTGGTGGTGGCTGTGGTGGTTGCCGCCGTCGGGGCGGAGGATGGCGTCCACCGAGACGTCGACCACGGCCCACAGCCCCTCGGCGTGCTGCTTGCAGAACCGAAGGAAGAGCACCTCACGGATCGGCGACAGCACCTGCAGCTCCGCGTGCATCTGCATGCATCGATCCCAGGAGCACGTACGTACGTCGTCACGTCGCGTACGCGATTGAGCAGCCGTATAGTATATTACTAGTATAGGCGTGTGCGTGCGAGAGCATGGCGGCACGAGACGAATAGGATGACTCACCAGCTGGATCGTGCCAGTGGCAGTGGCGTGGAATGGAACAACACGTACGTAGTATAGGCCATTAACATGGAGCAGATGGCTCCTCAGGTGCGTACCGCGTCCATGAGGCTGTCTACGAGGTCCATGCTGCTGGTTATGGCGATGCCGGCCTCGCGGGTAGCCTCGGAGACGTAGCCGGCGGGGCTCGGCCCGAACACCCTGGCGAACGCCCAGTGGTACTCGTCGAAGTTGAGCATCTCCCGGCCGCCGCCGCCGTCGGGGCTGCGGAGCCAGAGCGGCTCGTCCATCTGTGCCACTTTCATGAGCTCCTCCATTGCGGCGAGCCCCAGCTCGAGGAGGACGGTGCGGTCGATGCCGTCGGCCGCGCCGTGCATCGCGCCGTCGAGGGCGCCGATGCCCACGGGCTGGCACATGGCCGCCGCAGAACCCACGGGGCCCGGTAGGCCGCCGGCGCCCATTAGGTGGGGGAGGGGCTGCAGCGCGGACGCGCCGAGGGGGCCGAGCCAAAACCTGCCGTTGGTGCCGACGCCGAGCTCAAGGCCGGAGCACCCTTGCGGGCCGACATGGTGCTGCTAGAGGAGATTGGGCTGCCAAGGAACTTGTCGGCGAGGGCGCAGACACGGTCCAGCTCGTCCTTGAGCCGCGCGTGTTAGACCCAAAGATCATCTAGAGTAGCATCTAGTCGGGTGATTCTTTTATTTGGGATGAACAAGTAGATAACCTAATGAATCGTACTACAGAGTGATAGAGAGAGGAGAGTGGATGGGAGTGTACAGACCATCGGAGGGCGCCGTCGAGGAGGATTCGGCCATCTCGTTCTGTCGGTGACGTTCTGCGCACGGGCAGCGATGGTCGGAGAAGAGTCGGTGAAGTCCGGCGACGCGGTGGGGTGCAGTGAGGCCGACGGTGATGACGGTGACGTCTTCCCGTCGCTGGCTGTGCGCCCTTACTAGATCGGACTTAGGGTTTGTTGGTGGGGCGGATTGGCTCACGGTGAACCTCATACTACGAGCCACCGGCCCCCACCATTTTATATAGCGCAATGCGATGGGGGCCCACCAACCATGTAGGGTTGGGCGCCCCCGATCAGGGCGTGTGACCAAGGCCCAATAGGGCGTTGGGCTTATTGGCTGGGAGATCAATCCAACATTCTCCCCCTTGATCTCACACTATTACTTTTATCTTTAAACTTTAAACTTCAATCCTTTTATCCTTACTCATTTCTTCACAGATGATGCATAGAGCATGTTTTATCGTCACGGTCAATCGCCGATAGATTTAACAGCTACAATGCACGTCTCTGATCTGAAATAGATACTTTAACTTTTGGGCCCTTTATAGTCCAGGAATCATAGGCTTTCCCTTAAATCCATGCCGACTACATGTTCTCTGAACACGTTGGGTGGTAAGCCTTTTGTAAGCGGATCCGCGAGTATCTTTTCGGTACTTATATGCTCAAGACTTATCATTTGATCCCAGACTCTATCCTTCACAACATAATACTTTATGTCAATGTGTTTGACAGCGCCACTTGACCTATTGTTGTGAGTATACTGTACTGTTGGATTATTATCGCAGTATAACTTCAGTGGTCTATAGATATCGTCAACCACTTTCAAACCGGGTATGAACTTCTTTAGCCAGTTCATCTGCCCCGATGCCTCATAACATGCTACAAACTCGACATACATTGTGGACGATGTAGTGACAGTTTGCTTTGAGCTTTTCCATGAAATAGCTCCTCCTGCGAGAGTGAATACATATCCCGACGTGGATTTTCTATCATCTCCTGCATAATCAGAATCCGAGTACCCCACCAATTGGAGAGATTCTGATCTTCTATATGTCAACATGAGGCCTTTCGTACCTTGCAAATATCGCAAGACTTTCTTTACCAATTTCCAGTGTTCCATTCCTGGATTACTCTGAAATCTACCAAGCAACCTGGTAACAAAAGCTAAGTCAGGGCGCGTACACACTTGAGCATACTGTAAGCTTTCGATAGCTGAAGCATATGAAACCGCTTTCATTTGATCGAGCTCGTACTGGTTCCTGGAGCATTGAAAATCCCTATATCTGTCGCCCTTGACTATAGGAGCAAGCGATGGACTACATTTATACATACTGAATTTCTTTAATACTTTTTCTATGTATGCCTTTTGTGACAGTTCTAATACCCCCTTTCTTCTATCTCGGTGAATTTCTATGCCCAAAACATATGATGCTTCACCAAGGTCTTTCATGTCAAACTTTGAGGACAAAAACTTCTTTGTCTCCTGCAGCAGATTCACATCACTACTAGCAGGTAGAATGTCATCCACATACAGAACGAGGAAAATAAATCTCCCATTCTTAAACTTTGCATAAATGCAATTGTCCTCAACATTCTCTTTAAACCTAAAATTCTTTATTGTTCTGTCAAACTTCAAGTTCCACTGTCTTGAAGCTTGCTTCAATCCATAAATGGATTTCTTTAGGCGGCAACCCATTCTTTCCTTTCCTTCTACAACAAAACCTTTTGGTTGTGCCATGTAAACATTTTCCTCTAAATCTCCATTTAGGAATGCCGTCTTTACATCCATCTGATGTAATTCTAAATCATAATGTGCCACTAATGCCATTATAATTCTGAGAGAATCCTTACATGAGACTGGAGAAAATGTCTCATTGTAATCTATCCCCTCTCTTTGTGTAAAACCTTTCGCCACAAGTCGTGCTTTAAACCTTTTTATATTTCCTCTGGAGTCATATTTTGTTTTGTAGACCCATTTGCAGCCTACTATTTTGGCTCCTTTAGGAATTTGTTCTAAATCCCAAACACCATTGGAACTCATAGATTCCATTTCATCTTTCATAGCTTTCAACCACTTTGATGAGTGTTCGTTTCTCATGGCTTCTTCATACGAGGTGGGATCACCCTCCATATGAAACTCTTCAGTATTATAGATTTCATAATCATCAGAAATAGCTGATCTTCTAACTCTTTGAGACCTTCTAAGGGCCTCCACATTTGGCACATTTTCTGTTTGAGGCTGTTGTTGCTCCCCCTCATGTGTGGCAACAGGTTATGTAGGATTCTGAACCATGGGTTCCTCATCCTCATTCGTAGTTGCCATAGGAGGAATAACAGCAGGTGCTAGCACCACAACATCTTGCATTGTAGGTGTAGCAGCAGTAGGTAGCTCGAAAAATGGCTCCTGAACCATCAGAGTGGGTGCATACACCCGTTTCTCCTCAAGATCAATTTCTCGAGCTACCATGCTCCCCCTCATCATTTCATCCTCTAGGAAGACAGCGTGTCTCGTTTCCACAAACTTTGTATGTCTATCTGGACAGTAGAAACGAAAACCTTTTGACTTTTCTGGGTAGCCAATGAAATGGCAACTTACTATTTTGGGATCTAACTTCCTAATGTTTGGGTTAAATACTTTAGCCTCAGTAGGACTCCCCCACACATGTAAGTGGTTTAGTAAGGGTACTCTTCCTGTCCACAATTCATACAGTGTTTTGGGCACCTACTTACTCGGTACTCTATTGAGAATATGAATGGCGGTTTTTAACGCCTCCATCCACAGGCTCAACGGTAAGGTGGAGTAACTTATCATACTACTCACCATATCCATTAGGGTACGGTTACGCCTTTCAGCTACTCCATTCTGCTGAGGTTTGCCCGGTGTTGAGTACTGGGCGACTATACCATTCTCCTATAAGAACCTTGCAAAAGGTCTAGAAACTTGTCCATATGGGGTATGCCGACCGTAGTACTCCCCCCCACGGTCAGACCTGACTATCTTAATCTTTAAATCATACTGATTTTCAACTTCTGCTTTAAATATTTTGAATTTATCCAACGCTTCTGTTCTTTCTTTAATTGGATAAATGTAGCCAAAACGAGAGTAATCGTCTGTGAATGTTATGAATGAATCATAACCATCCACACTTTTTACAGGAAAAGGACCACATATGTCTGTGTGAATTATCTCTAAAATTCCTATGCTTCGTTTGACATCCTTTTTAATTTTCTTTACATACTTTCCTTTTATGCAATCTCTACATTGTTCTAAATCTGAGAGCTCTAATGGAGGAAGAATATCATTCTTAACTAGTCTTTCTATTCTCCCCCTCGAAATATGGCCTAAATGACAGTGCCATAATTTCAACAACACATCGTGAGCTCTCTTTCGTTTTCTGTTTGCATTGTTCGATGAGGATACATTCTCATTCACATCACATACGGAATTCACATTTTCATGAAGTGATAACAAATAAAGCTCGTCTTGTCGGAAGGCAAGACCAATACATCTATTATTAAACAATATCTGACATTTGCCATTTCTAAAATGGCAATCATAACCATCATGGTCCAACTTTGATATACTAATCAAGTTTCTTTGCAAAGAAGGTACATAAAGAACATTTTTAAGAAAAAGTATGAAGCCATCAGCAAGCTCTAGCGGAAGATCGCCAACGGCCTCAACATCTGCTTGTACTCCATTTGCGACTTTAATGAAACTTTCGCTTTTTTGCAAAGTTCTCATCGAACGGAATCCCTATAAAGAATTAGCAACATGAATAGTTGCACCTGAATCAATCCACCAAGTAGATTTTGAAAACTTGACATACAAGGATTCATTTATGAACGTAATAATGTTCTCACCTTTATTTTTCATAATCATCTTTAGGAAATCAGGACAATTCTTCTTATAATGTCCCGTCTTCTTACAATAGAGACACTGATCTTTATCCACTGGGAATTGCTTGTTCTGAGACTGTTGCATGGGACCCTTTCTAGATGACTTGGAGGAAGAGCTGTTATTATAGTTCTTTTTCTTATTATCTTTTAGGTAGTTGATAGTACCACCCTGTGAAACTTTTATTCTTTCCTCCTCCTGCACACACATGGCTATGAGCTTTTCTAGATCCCATTTCTTGGGCTGTATGTTGTAATTAACAACAAAAGTGTCAAATTTTTTAGGCAAAGAAGCAAAAATCAAATGAATAAGAAACTCATCCTTGAGTGCCAAATCTATTGGTTTGAGCTTAGATGCCAAATTGCTCATTCTCAGTATGTGCTCTCTAATGCCACTGCCGCCACCAGAGTACCTTTCTGTCACCAGCTGCTTGATCAGCTAGGTTGCATATGTCTTTGAAGAGCCAGTGAACTGACTCTTTATTCTTTCTAGGTACTCTATGACCGTGTCACAGTCTGGAATTGAGCCCACTATTGCAGGCTCAATTGTATTCTTTATTACAGCCAAACATTTTTTATTGGCTGTGACCCACTTTCTATGTTCGAGGTCAAAAGACATCTTTACGGGAGCAAAGTCCCGCTCTCTGTTCTGCCATGCAACATCAGTCTCATCAGTCTCCCTCACCGGTGCCACAGGTTCTTTGGGACACGGTGTGGTGACTACCCAGTCAACCTCAGCCAAGATGAAGGCCAAGTCGATATTTTTCT